GGGGGTCCTCACATCACATTGAATACTGAACCCTTTAATAATGGTAAAGCTACTTCTTCGCAGGTAGGTGCTGAAAAGTTGAGCTCAGCTGGTCGTGCTGGACATGTATCTTCTGACATAGATGCATTAAAATTGCTTCCATCTGCAAGGCCCTCCTCTCCTTATGGTGTTGGCCGTGCAAGATCATTGTCACCGCCAGCTGATGATTTCGATGCAGAAAATTCTCGAGCATTTGCTGAAAGATCCCCGCCATCTCATGGTAGGATAGGTTGTGGGGTCAATGGAGTACTGGCTGGAGATGATGAGACAATTGAGTGGCACAGAAATCTTTTGCCTGATAATGGCAGTCAAAGGCTGGAAAATTCTGCTGCCTGTAGTTTCAAAAAAGAAGCTGGGCTTCAAGGGCCTAGAGCTCTGGTTAATGCATATGGAATTGATGAAAGAGAAAAAGAATTTAATTATCAGCATCATAAGATTGGTCAGCCAGATGCAAATGGTATTAGCAAAAAGGCAGGTGTTAGAACATGGCAAAATACTGAAGAGGAAGAATTCAATTGGGAAAACATGAGTCCAACTCTTGGAGATGCTCATAGGCATAATGATGCCTCATCATCTATGCTTCCACCTGGGAGATATATTACTAGACCCCATGTTGGTTCTCTTCAAGATATATCTTCTATCAATGAGTCTAGAAGGAGATTATCAGATCAGGCTCATCCTTCCTTAGTTAAGGTATTTTCATTAATCCTTTGTGAATGATATAGACATCATTGCTGTTTACCCAACACACCATTGGTTTTCTGTTCTTTATGCATACTCAGTTAGCAATTGTCATGGTCTTTCAACTTTATCACAAATCCTAACCTGGAAGGATATTTGCAATGGTTATCATTTTTTAGATTTTTTTAGCACCTTGTTTTGTAGTGTTTGATACTGTACTTGTCGTCACCAATTTTTTCACTTGTACGACTAAGAAATAAATGATAGAAGAAAGAAGTAGTGCTGATGCTCACAAGTACATTTAATGCCTAGTAGGTGTTAAGACTTGTTTTCTGCTGTTATTGTTTTCCTTTTGAATATGTTTTATTTTTATCTGATCTTGGAATAATATTTGTTTGACAATTAATTTCTCAACTACAGCCTGTACGAGGGGCTACTGATAAGATCACTGGGCTGTATGAGGAGGTTCCACTAATTCCAGCTCTGAATTATAGCCAAGAATCTCGTTTTCTCCAACAAGATTTCCCGCAGTCATCTCATCACCATATGGGGGTTGAAGGAGGGGGAAGAGCTCTCACAACACATCCTTCTGAATCTAGAAATTCAACTTCAGTGGGTGAGCTAAAGCCTTCTTTAGTTGGAAATTTAACAAATGTAGATGGAAAGTTTTGGAGGCCTCCAAGCAACAATTCTTCATTAGCGAATCCTGGTTTCAACTTGTCGATCCAGGATGCTCAAGCAGTTAATGTGGGACTTTCAAATGGTACATGGACCTCAATGAGCATGCATAACTCTCGATCATTAAATCCAATGCCTATGCTCCTTCCTCAAAAGCAGATAAGGGATCAGTTTGATACTATGAGTGCAGTACCTGGACATGCTCAGCATGAGAGACATATGGAGAACATAGACACCAAACCACAGTTTGAGATGCCCCGTTTGTCTGTTCAACATCCTAGTGCAAGTCCATTAAATCTTCAAAGATCCGGACAAATTGGGCTATCACAACCACTTCAGCATTTTCAGGATTTTCCTCTAACTAAGGGTCCACCAAGTTCGATTGTGGTCCCAACGCGTATGGTCATGCCACATTTTGGCTACCCTCATCGAGGTCACGGTGTTTCAGGTGTGCAAATGGTGAACATCCCAAATAATACATCTTTACAGTTCCCTGGAGCAGCCTTGCTCCCACCCATAACTAGATTTCCAATTCGTGCTGCTCCACCACCTCAAATGATGCCCACACTTCAGACTTCGGGCCAAGTCTCCCAAAGTAGTGCTCCCCCACAAAGTGGTGCATTTTCCAATCTGATAAGCACCTTGATGGCTCAAGGTTTGATTTCATTAACAAACCAAGCCACAACACAGGTATGGCCGTATTGTGTTTCTTTTTTGTATTATCAAGTTTCCGTTCAGTTCATTAAAAAAACACATTCTTACCTGTGTGAATTTGATATTTAGGACTCTATCGGCACAGAGTTTAATGTGGAAGTTTTCAAGGAGCGACACGAGTCAACAATAACTGCTCTGTACTCTGCTCTTCCTAGACAGTGCACAACGTGTGGTCTCCGGTTCAAATCCCAAGACACTCATAGCAGTCACATGGATTGGCATGTAACCAAGAACAGGATATCTAAAAACCGGAAGCACAAACCTTCTCGCAAGTGGTATGTAAGTCTCAGTATGTGGCTAAGTAGTGCAGAGGCGCTGGGCACTGATGCAGTTCCTGGATTTCCACCTGTTGAAGATGCTGTGGAGAAGAAGGATGATGAAGAACTTGCTGTTCCTGCTGATGATGACCAAAATGCTTGTGCTCTATGTGGAGAGCCTTTTGATGACTTTTATAGTGATGAGAATGAAGAATGGATGTTCAAAGGGGCTATCTACTTGAATGCACCGCCTGCTGGTGGGTCAACAGCTGGGATGGATAGGTCTCAGTTAGGGCCAATTGTACATGCAAAATGCAGATCTGAGTCTAGTACCACTTGTGCCGAAAGTTCCAAGAAACATGCTGAGGTAAGTTGAGCCTCACATGAAATAGTTTAAACTCCAGTACTAGTTGGTCTATAGTGTTTGACTCTTTGATTCCATGTTATCTACAGGGTGGTTTTACAGATGATGGAAGTCCGAGGAAACGATTGCGCAGTTAACGTTTTTTAGATGAGCTTGTAGGCGCTGTGTAATATTATATGCCTGGTTTGGCTCATGTATTTGTACAGATGTTATTGTACCAGTCAGATTTTATTGCACAGAAAAAAAAAGGTTACAAGAATAGATTTGCCATATTTATCCGGCCTTGGCCTTGCCTTTCATTCAAATTTCTGCCAATCTGCATGATCATGACACAGCCAGTTTAGGTCTAGTGAGTGAGTCAGTCTGTTTAAGTCTTGAATAGGAGGGGGCTGTCACAGTTGAAATGTAAGGTGCTCTTTCTTTCGCAGCCTTAGTTTCGCATAATCCATTTTTTAAAAAAAAATCTGCATTGGCTTGGCAGTTTTTTGCAGGAGGATATGTTTCTTCGGGGGCGTGCTGAACTGTTTTTCATGCTGTGAATATCCTGTTTGAGTTTCC